CGCGCAATTAACAATAAGGTGCAAGTGAAGTGATTTCCCTAATAGTAGCTGCTGGTGTTACTGGTGTAGTACGTGTCAGCGCAGGTAGGCAGGCTACGTAACCGCTGCTGCTGGTACGTGTCAGCGCACATATCGATTTCAATAGCTTCGACCACGTTTTGTAAGTGATCTATGCGCGAGCAAGCCTGCATTAATGTGAGTTAGTGGCGTGTGTGCGTGCGTGCGTGCGTGTGTGCGTGCGTGCGTGCGTGCGTGCGTGCGTGGGTGTGTATGTATGTGTGCGAGTGTGTGTATGTGTGCGCGTGTGGGTGCGTGTGCATATGTGTTAAATGTAAATATGAATGCAGTGGTAAAGTAAAATTGTATCGTGTTGGTGCTAGCTGTGTACACCCGCAGTATTTCAAAATACTATGTTTGTCAGTGCGGAGTCACGCAAGCGCGAAAGAATAATTTATGAACAGTAACGGTAACGTAGATACCGTTGGATAACGTTGGACCAGATCATATATAATTATTTCGAAATAGCATTCATGGTTAGAGCGTATTTATTATGAATGCGTGGCAAATTCTGTTCGTTTCGTTATGTAATTACGTGTGCGTCTTGTATTTGACTGACCGCGTTATTTATGGAAGGGTTATTTTTGCTCCGTCGTTATTGCTATGTCGTAATTTCGCCAAGCTTAATTAGTTGCGGTATTGAACCTGCATGTGTGCACTGTGGCATCATCAATTGCATTGAAATATCACACGCACGCTGTAACGTCGCTTAAATTATGTATGCGATGATGTCGCGTTCCGTGCTCGCGGGCGGTCGTGTCACGCACTATCGGGTTCAGTTCTCATTATGAATCTGGCAATATATTCATCGGAATTTCCCAAGTGCAATGTTTATTTAATTATCAATGATCTAATGATCCTGATTATCATGAGTAAAGTCTGGGGTAGGGAGGCGGGGGATTTGTCCTGTGCGAGCAAGTGAGTGCGGTAGAGATGTGGTTGGCCTTGGTTGCTCTCTATACCGACGGTAGCTCTAGCCTGTGGCGGAGCGAATGGCTATCCTTCTAGAATCTAGAGCTATACCGACGGCTGTTGCAGGCCGTACGCGGCGCGGCAGCTAGCGCGCAGCACTACCGCAGCGGGAGGAGGTGCAGCCGTGCCGCTGCCTCCTCTACTCAACCCACGCAGCATGTCCGATGGACAGATCAATGGGCAGGCGCAGTCGGTGCAGATGCACGCGCAGCGATACCAGGCGAAGACAAACGATGGCGTCAAAGGCGAACGAAGGTAAAAACCGCACACACGCACGCACGTATGGCATGTATTTTGTTTCATAATTCGATTCACGCATCGAATCATTCAATTCACGGATCGAATCATTCGATTCACGCATCGAATCATTCGATTCACGCATCGAATTATTCGATTCACGGATCGAATCATTCGATTCACGCATCGAATCATTCGATTCACGCATCGAATCATTCGATTCACGCATCGAATCATTCGATTCACGCATCGAATCATTCGATTCACGCATCGAATCATTTGATTCACGCATCGAATCATTCGATTCACGCATCGAATGATTCGATGCGTGAATCGAATCATTCAATTCACGGATCGACTCATTCGATTTATGCATCGAATGATTCGATTCACGGATCAATTGATTCGATTCACGCATCGAATCATTCGATTCACGCATCGAATCATATGATTCACGCATCGAATCATTCGATTCACGCATTGAATCATTCGATTCACGCATCGAATCATTCGCTTCACGCATCGAATCATTAGATTCACGAATCAAGAAATGTTATATGTGATAAATCGAATGTTATATGTGATAAATCGAATGTTATATGTGATAAAATCAACCATAAAACAAGAATCGAATTATGAAACAAAAAACATGCCATAAGTACGCAGGAGGCGCGAGGCATGTATTTAGTAGCGAGTTAGTTGTATAGTGACGCTTGGAGGGTAGCCGGTAAGTCGGGACTGAGGGGGTCGGTCGGTGGTGAGTGCGTGTCGCGTGGCGGGAGAGTTGGGCGGGCGGACGATGCGTGTGAGTGGTAAGCTGGTAAACGAAATTTTTCACGGCGGATGTTAATTCGTGTTGCGTATAGACGAAGCGTCTGCCAACTCACGCGCGCATGCGTGTGTGGGTGCGTACGTGCGTATGTGAATGCGCGAGCGTATGTGGGTGTGTGTGCGTGCATCCGCGTGTGTGTGTTAGACTCTAACATAGATGATCTAAAATAGATGCTAGAGGTGCAGCTTTTCCAGAGATAATGTTTGGCAATAAGAAATAAATAATGGCAGAGTTCTTATTAGTGAATGAGTTACAATAGTAGAGTGTGAGTACGTGCGCTGGAACATTTCTTATTAATTAGGTAACACTAGAGAGATCTCGGGAGAGCACCTGTTAAGCTGTGGTAACACTACGCGATTTTTCATGCGATCGAGCCGGCCGGCTCAGTCGGGCGACTGAGTCGGGCGACTCTGTGAATTTTCAGCACGCTGATTGGCTGATGAATTGTAAAATCGGCCGGCTCAATCGCAGACCTGGGCACACTAGGCGATTGCAGCCGGCTGGCTCAAATAATTATCAAACATGTTTGAATCGGGCGACTCGGCCGGCCGACTCGAAAATCGACCGCGACTCACTGGACACACTACGCGATTTTTCATGCGATCAAGCCGGCCGCCTTGGTCGGCCGGCTTGATCGGCCACCTTGGTCGGCCGGCTCGATCGCATAAAAAATTGCCTAGTGTGTCCACCGCTTTAGTTTGCTTGATGCATACCACTGATTATTGAGATTTCCCGTGTATCATTAAATTATTTATGGTTTACAGTGATATAAGTTTATATTTAGGTGCTTATCTTAACAGTAGGTGTAGGTAATGTAGTTTTATTTGTTGCTTCATGTATTGTATATTTTTGTAAACTAATTTAGGTTACATAGAAAATTAACGATGTGTAGAACAGGTCCAGGATGCGTAAATAGTGTATATTGTTTTAGAATATAAAAATGCACAGTAATTGTATGTTTTTCATGAGAGAATTCTCACTTTCAGTAACGTAGGTCAGGACACACCAGCATACCGCAACATGAAACCAAAAGCAAAGAAAAGTACACCGGATCCCAAAACTGCAAAAACGAATGGTACAATAGTAGCAATTAATATCCTGTGGCAGTTACATTTCATTGTCATTGTCACTTTCCCTCTTTTCTTTCTATTGTGTACAATGTGATTGAATGAGATGAAAATAATACAATGTAATACGTGAATCGGTATAGTACGCTTAGCGACTTTGGTAGTCTGAATAACCACTCTGTCTTCCTTTTGTTTCCCTCTTACATTCAAGTTCATGGACTACATGATTATAATTGCAACAGGCAGCAGCACGTAGGTCGTGTGGCTTGCACATCCATGTGCAATGTGTTACTTATTTAAACACTAAAGTGAATCTACTAACACTAGGATCTCTCATTGATATATAGGTGTGTAAATATTTGATGGGCGGCTGATATTGGCTAGGTTGCAATTAGCAGTGGCCGAATGTGATTTCCATTGTAGGTCGATCGATTTCCCAATACTTAAAACAGGTTAATTTGACGTATGTCTACTACTGCCCCTGAAAATGTCCAGACTGCTTTCATTCTGCATTCAGGCAACGTTGAGGCTCCTTCGTACCTATTTCTACCCCATTTCAATTCCATATCCAATCTATGTCCAGTTCTAACCAAGTTTATGACTTCCATGTCCAGTTCATGTCTAGTCTGCTCCTCGTGAAGTCCATGTCTGGTCTGCTGCCTGTCCATCCTAGATCATTTCCATTTCCTGTCCATGTCCATCCCAGGTTGATTCCATGTTTGGTCCATCTCTATCCCAGATCAATTCCATGTCCATCCCAGATCAATTCCTTGTCCGGTCCATATCCATCCAAGATCAATTCCATGTCCGGTCCATGTCCATCCTAGATCAATTCCATGTCCGATCCATATCCATCCCAGATCGATTCCATGTCTGGTCCATGTCCATCTTAGATCAATTCAATGTCCGGTCTATGTCCATCCTAGATCAATTCCATGTCCGGTCCATGTCCATCCTAGATCAATTTCATGTCCGGTCCATGTCCATCCTAGATCAATTCCATGTCCGGTCCATGTCCATCCCAGATCAATTCCATGTCTGGTCCATGTCCATCCTAGATCAATTTAAAGTCTGGTCCATATCTAGTTCATGTCTTCTAGCCTCCAGTTTTATGTCCATCACTAGTCTTATGTGTTGTTCTCACATGGTCTTCCTGTAAATTTTCAGGCGATCTGAAGCCCCGATTGTCAACAGCTTCATCAGAGGAATCGATACGCAGCTCCTTGCTTGACCCAACGCCACAGCACAGCCTGGTAATATTTAATTCCTACGTCTGCATGTAATCATGGTAATACTTAATTACTACGTCTGCATGTAATCATGGTAATACTTAATTACTACATCTGCATGTAATCAATGCAATACTTACTTCCTACGTTTTCATGTAATCATGGTAATAATTAATTACTACGTCTGCATGTAATCATGGTAATACTTAATTACTACATCTGCATGTAATCATGGTAATACTTAATTCCTACGTCTTCATGTAATCATGGTAATACTTAATTACTACATCTGCATGTAATCATGGTAATACTTAATTACTACATCTGCATGTAATCATGGTAATACTTAATTACTACATCTGCATGTAATCATGGCAATACTTAATTACTACAT